ACCCCCCCCTCCTTGGCGCGCGGAGCGCGCCAGGGGCGGTGCCGGAGGCGCCGCCAGGGGGCTCCCGCGCCGATCCGGGAAATCCGCGCGGACCTCCGAGTCCTTCCGTGTGCGTCATTGGTCGTTCCCCTGGGTGCCGCTTCGGGGTCCCCCTGGGGACTCGTCGGGGTCCAGCGGGGCCCCGCAGGCCCCACTGGGCCTCGCGCAGGGCCCCACGCAGGCCGCGCTCCGTGCAGCACCGGGGCCCCGCGGGGGGCCCCACGCAGAGTCCCCTTCGGGCCCTCGCCCTGCCGCCGTCGATCCCCCTCCCCAGCTTCGAAGGGGGCACGTCAGGGGGGGACCAGCCAGCGTTCCCCCCACCGTTCCCCCCAACGCTCGGGGGAACGTGAGGGGGGGAGGGGAACGCCAGGGGGGGAGGGGGACATCGAGCTGGGCTCGGCGATGCGTCGCCCATAGAGCGGCGACAACTCTCCGAGGGCGAATCCGGAAGGTCCCATCGGCGGTGGACAAACCTCCCTTCAGCAAACCTCCTTTTAGCCGAAACGGCCTGGGACCGAAACAGACGGACCTGGACCCGCAAAAATGACGGCCGCGACGCCCCCTCGCGCACCGAAGACTGCCAGTTCGCTGATCGACGTGTCAGGGTAGGAGGTCTGTCGACCTCCGATCCCGTCGGGCTGGAGTCGACGACGCACCGCCAGCAGACCGGCGACGGGCTCCCCGAGGCCGAGTCCGGGCGCCCCTCCTGGGCGGAGGGCGTGGGCCCCACCCCCGGCCCCAAGCGGCGAGGAGCGGTCCACCGGAGAGGTTCGGCGCCTCCTCCCTACGCCTGTCTCCTCCCGGGATGCGGGCAGGACTGCAAGTCCAGATCCGCTGCGCCCTGGGCTCCGGGCCTCCTTCGGGGTCAGACAGAGGTCGGGGATGCGTCCCTCTGCAGGAGGAGTCTTCAGAGACTCTCACAAAAAGTACTTTGGGGACGATTTCGTGACCATTTCTGAAGATGTTCGGACATGTGTTGAATCTGCTTTGACTGTCGTCCCAAATCCGCCTGGTGGATGACCTGCCCGACCCACAGGCCAGACCTTTCTATCCCCAGGGGGGCCAAACTTCTACCAATATCCTCTGCGCCTCGGGCACCCCCTGGAGTCCCCTCCCTCATAGCGGTCCGGTCTGCGCCGGATCGGCTCGCGAGATGGGAGCGATCGCGAGCGGATCGGCTCGCCACCGACTCGTCCCGAGTCGGATCGGTATCGGATCGCCGCGCCCCGCTTTTCCGGCTGGCCCTGGCCGATGCCCGCAAAGGGAGCCCGATCGCATCGAGTTGCAATCGCGGCCCCCGCCGGCGAATCGAAGCGCAGCGACTGGGATCGCAGGCGGCCCTGCCGACGGTGCCCCTGGCCTTCCGCGCTCCAGCTTTCGGGCCACAGCTCGGGCCTCCGGCGGCAGTGCGGGGCGATCCTGGCACCCCTGGAGTGCTGTCGACGAGGAGCGGCTGGTCGACACCACCCTGGGCCTCGAAAACGTTCGACGAGTTCCCGAAACAGAGGAACAAATAAACTGCATAGGGATAGCCTGTCGGAGATCCGCACAGATGTCCTTGATCGGCGCTGGGCCCCCCTCCCTGGCGCGCGGAGCGTGCCAGGGGCTGCGCCAAAGGCGCCCCAGGCCAGGCGCCGATCCAAGAGATCCGCGCCGAGCTACGAGAGTCTATGTTTACGCAGTGCTTTCATGATCGACTTTCGGAAAACTACCAAAAACTGTCGAACCTTGTCCTTCGGTAGCAACTCATGGGAGCCTCCCATACTATCTTGTCCGCTCTTGCGAATCGACGCTAATCGACGCCGGTCCACGCTAATCGATGCTAACTCGACGCTAAATAGACGCTAATCGACGCTACCCGACGCTATCTCATCGACTTCCAGACGCTAATCGACGCTCATCGACGCTAAGGACGGAACTAAAAGGGTGCACCAGGCTCCCATGATTGGCGACAGAACTTGTCCCCCCTGAGCCGATCCCCCGGAGATGCGGGCCCCGCCGTCATGATTTTGCTCACCGTGGGGGCCGGGCCCCCCGGGGGCGACAAGTAGCCAAGAAGCTCCCGCCACGACCTTTCCACGACGCGAGGGGGGCTGGGCCCCCCACCGCGTTGCCCCTGCTAGGAGAACGGTCTCTACATACACCGACACTTGTTCTGGCCCTGCACTGAAACTTGCACGGGCACGCGGATCATGGTGTACACGAGATCCTGTTGTGTACATGTTTCGTTGTTCCCCTGGGAAGCGGAAACAAAAGGTATATACCACCCCACCCCGACGCCAGCCCAGCGGATGTATATTTACTCACGCTGCGCGAGCTAGGCTGGACGCCTACTTCGGCTAGACAGGTGTCTGCCGCTCAAGGTGAACTGGTGGGCCTTCTTTCGTTATCGCCTGTTATGGTCAGCAGTCTTGCGCAGCGTGATGCACGACACTGGGCTGACAAAAGGGCTCTCCTCCTCCTCCTCCTCCTCCTCCTCCTCCTCCTCCTCCTCCTCCTCCTCCTCCTCCTCCTCCTCCTCCTCCTCCTCCTCCTCCTCCTCCTCCTCCTCCTCCGCGATGCCCAAGCTCAACGGAGTCTGGTGCAAAGAATGTTCCAGACTCCGATTGGCGGCGAGCCTGGGAGGGCAAGGCCGAGGGGGCGGGGCTTCCCAGAGGGTGCAGAGGGTCTCCAGCCTCCTGGGAAGCTCTCTGATTGGGCGCTGTCAGGACTGGGCTCCCAGACCCCCTGGAGCAATGAAAAAATCGTGACAGGAGGTCTTTCGCCGCTTTCGGCGTCTGGGGGCCCTCGCTGGGCCTCGGGACCGTCGACAAACGACTCAGGATGAGAAGCCAGTCCCGGGGAATGGGTCGAGACCTCTCGGGGTCGACCTTATGGAAAAACCATGACGGCGGGGGTCTGGGTTCAGTGGGACATGGTTTAGTGATGTGTACGTACCGGAAGACGCCCCCCCCCCGCCCCATTCCACGAACCGGAACTGCCGTCACCCGGAAGACACCAGCTGCGGCAGACCTGGTTTAGTGAGTCCAGCTCGTACTTTGGACTTCAGGGCCCAGTCACTCACGGGCTCCCCTGAACTGGGGTTCTGGCTGTACTTCGATCGGGCCTGTCCTCCTACAGGCGGATTTTGGACGAAAACAAAAAATAGTGAAAAAATACTGGCGCGCGGAGCGCGCCAGGAGCGGCGCCGGAGGCGCCGCCGGGGGGCCCCAGCGCCGATCCGAGAAATCCGCGCGGAGCTCCGAGTCACTTGCGTTCCCCTATCAAAGATAATCAAGAATACCAGAAAAATCATCCCCAGGCTATTTTCTCCCTATTTCTGGAATCTCCTCCTGTGGAGAGACAGGCCCGACGCAAGGCTGTACCGATCGGAGCCTCCTGCGAAGGCACAGACGGCTCCTCGGCAGGCGCGAGGGCTCCCGAGGAGCCCCGCCGCCTGCCGAGAGCAGGCCCGCCCCCCGTCGCGCTTCCCCCCCGCGGAGCTCGCCGCCGACGGGTGCTCGGCTGCCGGGCCAGTCGGCGTCGGATCGGGTAAGCGGGCAGAACTGCGTCCTCCTCCCCCTCCTCCTCCTCCTCCCCTCCTCCTCCTCCCCCCTCCTTCTCCTCCTCCTCCTCCTCCTCCTCCTCCTCCCCCTCCTCCTCCTCCTCCTCCTCCTCCTCCTCCTCCTCCTCCTCCTCATCCTCCTCCTCGCTGCATCAGCACGGAGTTGGGTTCGACTGCAAGACCACTGAGCATTCTTTTAGGGTGGAGGGCCAAGGGTGAAATCCATACGGGCTCTTGCGCCTCGGAAACCAATCCGTCTTGTGGTTCACCTTGTGCATACTCAAGCCTTGGAAATCCATAACTATCCCAGTGCGACCCTACCTAGGAGTTGGAGCCCCTAGGAAAGCAGCATTAGTAGTAGCAGTAAAGCTAAGCTAAAGCTAAGCTAGAGCTAAGCTAAAGCTAAGCTAATGCTAAGCTAAAGTTCAGCTAAAGTTAAGCTAAAGTTAAGCTAAAACTATGCTAAAACTAAGCGAATGTTAAGCTAAAGCTAAGATGAAGTTAAGCTAAGGTAAAGCTAAGGTAAAGCTAAGGTAAAGCTAAGGTAAGCCTAAGCTAAAGCTAAGGTAAAGCTAAGCTAAAGATAAGCTGGAGTTAAGCTAAAGCTAAGCTAAAGTGCAGCTAAAGCTAAGCTAAAGCTAAGCTAAAGCTAAGCTAAAGCTAAGCTAAAGCTAAGCTAAAGCTAAGCTAACTATAAGCTAAAGTTAAGTTGAAGCTAAGCTAAAGGTAAGATAAGGCTAAGCGAAAGCTAAGCTAAAGCTAAGTTAAAGCTAAGCTAAAGCTAAGCTAAAGCTAAGCTAAAGCTAAAGCTAAAGGTAAAGCTAAAGCTAAAGCTAAAGCTAAGCTAAAGCTAAGCTAAAGCTAAAGGTAAAGCTAAAGCTAAAGCTAAAGCTAAAGCTAAAGCTAAAGCTAAAGCTAGGCTAAAGCTAAGCTAAAGCTACAGCTAAAGCTAAAGCTAAAGCTAAAGCTAAAGCTAAAGCTAAAGCTCCCAGGGAGCGCAACTGGGGGAACCGCGGGGCGGATACTGGGGGAACCGCCTGGGGCGCTTTCCACTGCCCGGCCCCTGTAAGCCCAGAGAGTAAGAACCCTTCTGGGCAGAGAATAGGTAGGGAAAAACAGCATTTCAGCTTTCACCCTTTGCCCTCCACCCAAAGAAAACGCTCGGGACCAGTCAGCATCGCATCGGGAAACTGGACAGAACTGGCATGGGAGCCGGACCCGGCTGCATCCGCGCGGAGCTGGGATCGCGTCGAAGCGGCCGCGCCCAGGTGCACAACACAACCGCGCAACCCTGCCACAAAACCAGGCTTCTGCCCCGCGGCGCGCCGCCGATGCCCGCCCCTCCACCACGACAACGGCCCCGTGGGGCAGCGGCCGGGGCCGCGGGGGTCTCGCGCGGTGCCGCGGCAGGGCCGACCGGCTCGTAGGCGGAGGCTGCCAAGGAGCGCAGGCTCCGCATGGGGCGGCGGGAGCGCCGCCTGGCGCGAGGAGGGGGGGGGGGGGAACGATCGAACGAACGACACGCTCCATCGGCCCCGAGGCCGTGCCGAGACGGGTGGCGCGGGGGCGCCTCGGCGCCCTCGGCTCTGGTGCAGCGCCCCCGCGAGTGGGCCCCGCGGACGGCATGCGCAGATTCTGGGACCCCCATCCTGTCCTCCGGGCCCCGTCCCCGTCCCTCGGGGCCCCACCCCTGCGCCACCGACCCTGGAGGAGGAGGAGGAGGAGGAGGAGGAGGAGGAGGAGGAGGAGGAGGAGGAGGAGGGTAGGAGGAGGAGGAGGAGGAGGAGGAGGAGGAGGAGGAGGAGGAGGAGGAGGAGGAGGAGGAGGAGGGGGAGGAGGAGGAGGAGGAGGAGGAGGAGGAGGAGGTGCAGGCAAGCAAGGTGTTTCTTGGCATGGGTTTCCACTGTGCTCGACGGTGGGTTCCAGCCAGCACTTGCACAACCCCCCCTGCCGACCCGCGGGGGGGGGGGCGTTGTCGAGGCCAAGGCGCCCACATGCGGCGGCGAGCTCCGCGGGGGAAGCGAGGAGGGGCGGGCCCTCTCTTGGGTCGGGCATGTCCTCCTACAGGCGGGTTCTGGAGGAAACATGAAAGGAATACCAAAAAGTCATCAAAAAAGAACAAGAAAAATCGTCCCTTAACTCTTTTCTAAACCATTCTTAGAGATTCCCCTCCTGTAGAGGGACAGACGCGACTCAAGCCTTCTCGGGAGGCTCGAGGGCCCCCTGGCCTCCTGAGAAGTCCCGCCGCCTTCTGAGAGGGCACTCTCCTTCCCCGTGTCCCCGCCCTCGCTCACCGCCAACCCACGAACCCTCGCGCCCGGCGTGCAGCGCGGGGGAAGGCGGGCCGCCCGCCCATCCCACCATCGCGGGGGGACGCGGAGTTCCTGTAAACGGGGCCCGGCCGGCATGGAGGGGCCATCATGGGAACCTCGCGCCGAATTCGAGACCACAAGGCAGGTTCGTGGTGGGTGGGCCGAAGGACCATGGTAGGCCGTTGCACTCACGATACTCTTCAACGCGGTTCGGGGCCGGATCCGCATCATAGGAGTACTCCGGGAGGGCATGAAAGCCGCTCGAGAACGGCCAAACCGTTCTTTACGTTTTCCTAGTATGGCATTCCATGCGTTGCATCTCTCCCCTCGCGTCGTGAAAAAAAAAAAAAAAAAAAAAAAATGGTCCCCAGGGCAGCCAAAACACGACTCGGCATGAAAGGCTGGTCTCCAGGAGAGGAGTGAGGCTTCTGGGGACCCCGTACGGAAAAAGTCTAGACGTCGGAGTCCTGGGTCGTCGAGGACCCAAATACTCTGGCATTTTCCATGCGTCTCTCGTCGATGTCGGCCTCTGAGGGCCGCTCGCGCGCCCGGGGACCATCCCAAACGGATCCAGCACGAGAAACTGGCCCCGTGAAAGAGGTCGGGACCTCTGGCACGAGGGGACTGGGCTTCCGAGCAGGCGGACGGGCTTCTGAGAAGGCGGAGGGCCTTCTCGGAGGGACCCGCCCGGCTGCTCTGGAGGCGTCTCCGAAGCCCCCGGCCCTCCGCCTTCTCAGAAGCCCTCCCCCTCGCGCTCCATTCGGGGGCGTCCAGGAGAGGGGCGTGAAAGAGGGGGAGGGGGTGCAAATCATGGCCGGCGGCACGTGCGTGGCCCAGGGCAAGGGGGCCAGGAGGGCACTGAAATGAGAAGAGGCGCCATGAGATCTGGGGAGATCTCGTGGCCCCCGCCATGATATCCAGCCCCCCCTGGTCATCACCCCCCCTCGGCCGCCCCCGATCTCTCTTGTGGGCGCCGCCAGACCGGGGATCGGATCGGACGACTTCGGACGCTTTCGCAGGGAAGCGAGCGTCTTCGGCGGGTCTCGGTGGTTTCTCCTCCCTCGGGATGCTGCACCGCGGCGCGCTGGAGCCGAATCGCTCGTAGCGGCCGCCCCTCCACAGGAGAAGAAGAGGCTTCTGTGTCAAGCAGCACAAAAGGGGCCCAGGGACACACAAATGAATACACATAAATCCAAGGATCCTCCATAGTTGTCCCATATGTTCGTACACCTCCCTGGGAGTCGACGATGAATTGTGTCTGTGTTTTCCCTCCGTACAGCAGATGGATCCCCGTCACCACGCCCACATCGTTTGGCGATGCGCCATTCAGGGCACTGGTGGAGAGGTCAGAAGAAGAAGACGCCGAGTCCAGCAGGCTCACGAGCTATGAGAGCACGGCAGCTGGCGGCCGCAAGCGACCCTGCACCTCACACAAAGCACGAGCGGCAGAACTGACGCGGCAGGGGAGGAGGCAGCGCGCAGGGATGGGACAAGACGAGTGCCAGCATCTCTGCCTCGCATGAAAGCTCAGATTCGTCTACACTTGCACCCATACCGATATGTGCGTGTTTGCGTGCACACACGAGCGAGGGGAGGAGGAGCAGAGAGGAGGACCAGCATGCACGCACACCCGAGAAACCCAGCGTCTTGCTTCGGGGCTGGACTCCACCCCGCCCAGGCACGCCGGCGGCGCCGGGGGCAACGTCAGGGCGGGTCCAGAACCGCCCCCAGGGAAAAGAGCGACCTACTCGAAGCTCGGGCAGAGTTACCTGCATGGCATTTTGCCATCCACCCTCAGAAACCGCCTTTCAAGCAGTGCTGGCCCGAAAGAGGGCGTGCAAGGTGTGTCCCGACTGGCGTGAGGTCTAGATTGTATGGTCGGGGAATTCGCTCCCCCCACTCTGTTCAGGTTACCGTGCCAGGGTCTACAGGAAAACGGCTACGAATCCACAGAGATCCCCGAAAGCGTGCGCTTACGTATTGGTTGGACTCGACTCTCGCTCTATACCCCGCCCCACCTGCAAGGAAGAACAACCGATCTGCCCTGTGAGCGTGCTTTTGTTGAGGCCAGGGGGGCCTCTAAGAAGACCCCATGCCTTTTCAGACGGCCACCCCCGGAAGCCAATATGAGGGGAATCCTCCTCGTCTTCATCCTCCCACTCTTCCTCGAACCAGGTGCGGCGCCCTGGAGGAGGCGCGTCAGCCGACGACGGCGACAACGACGCAGACGTCGACGCCGACGCCGACGCCAATGCAAACGCCAACGCCAACGCCGACGCCCACGACGACGACGACGACGACGACGACGACGACGACGACGACGACGACGACGACGACGACACCGACGCCCACGCCGACGCCGACAACGACGACGACGACGACGACGACAACGACGACGTCGCCACCGACGTACACCACGACGACAACGACGACGACGGCGACGACAATGCCGACGAAGACGACGACAACGACGACAACGACGACGACGACGACGATGACGATGACAGGGGGGCTGCGTGGAGGGCGCGCACCCCGGGGGAGCACGCCGCGCGCGCCCGCTTCGCGCGCCGCGCGCGCGAAGGGGGTGCCCGCCCGCCCGCCCCGGCGCCCAGGGTGCCCGCCCGGCAGGCGGCCCGCTGCCGGCGCTTTGGCGGAGAAGGGTCGTCGTCAGTATCGTCATCATGATCGTCAGCATCGCCACCACGATCATCTTCGTCATCGTCAACCTCAACCTCATCTAACCCACCATCATCATCATCATCATCATCATCATCATCAGCAGCAGCAGCAGCAGCAGCATCAGCAACAGCATCATCATCATCAGCATCATCAGCAGCAGCATCATCAGAATCATCATCATCCTCATCAGCATCACCATCATCATCACTATCATCATAATCAACATCATCATCAGCAGCATCATCACCATCATCAGCATCATCATCGTCGTCGTCACCGTCGTCGTCACCGTCGTCGTCGTCGTCATCGTCGTCATCGTCATCGTCGTCGTCCTCGTCCACGTCTTCATGGTCCTCGTTGTCGTCGTCGTCGTCGTCCTCGTCGTCGTAGTCGTCGTCGACTTCAGCGTCGTCCTCTTCGTCGTCGTCGTCACCGCCACCACCACCAACGTCATCATCATTGCTTGTCGACACCAGCATCACCATCGTCGTCACTACCGTCATCACCTTCGCCAACATTACTGTCCCCACGGTAAGCACAACATCAGCAGCGCCGCCACCAGGCGGCTGGAGCTGGAATTTTGGCTGGAGCTCGGGCTCGGGCTGGATCTGGGGCTGGAGATGCAACTGCAGCTGGAGCTGGACCTGGAGCTGGCTCTAGACCTGGGGCTGTAATGGAGCTCTGCCAACACAAAGGGCTCCAAACGCTAGACAACTGGCTCCAGACGCTCGAAATCAGACCCACGAGTGGAGTTCTGGAACCAAGACGGCGCGCAACGCTGGACAGTTGGCCCTGCACACTGAAAATGAGTCCCAGGAGTCAAGTTATATCAAGTTCGGGCCACAAGAAAAGCTGGCCGTTTGCACACGGATTTTGAAACTCAGCCCTGTGAGTGGAGTTCTGGAAACGCAAGAGCGCCAGCAACCCTGTGAGGGTTGCACCACAATGACCAAATCAGTCCCGATAGTGGAGGTCTGGCAGCTGCAAGTTGCGACTGGCTGCACGGCTCGTATGGATAATCAAAAATCAGTCCGTGGGTTGGAGTTCTGGCGCCTCGATGCTGCGACGTGCTGTAAGAGTTGCGCCAAGACGATCAAACTGTGCCCCGGAAGCAGACTTCTGGCAGCAATCAGAGTCTGACTCCAACCACTCGGCCAGTGGCCGGCCCTGAGCGAGAAGCCTTCAAGACAAGCTCGGCTGTCGGCGATCAAGTGAATCCCCGGGCCCCCTGAGCCGATCCCCCCCTAGCATGTTCAAGGGGAGAATACGCCAGTCGAAACTATCCCCGGACTACCCCCCAGACAACCCGGACAACCTATGTTGATCAATGACGACACGACGACCTACCACGGAAAACCCTTTGGGCAACCCAGCGGGGAGCCAGACAGTCTCACCGGACAACCCCCTCGGACGAGCCTCACCGGGAGGAGGAGGAGGAGGAGGAGGAGGAGGAAGAGGAGGCAAGTATCACAACGTTGCCCCAGACG